TCTATTTCTTTTACTTTTATTTCTTTTTCTCTGAGACAGGGTTTCTCTTTGGAAATCTGCCTGCCTCTGCCTCTGCAGCAAATCTTACTCTGCCTCCCGAGTGCTGGGATTAAAGGCGTGTGCCACCAACGCCAGTTTCTCTATTTTACCACTATGCCTTTTTGTTTTCTCTCTCAATCTTACGTATATTTTTCAACACACTGTAAACCTTTAGAGGTTTTGTTCATCCAAGTCTTACTTTACTGTAAATCTTTATGTTTTTCTGGCCACGTGTCTTATCTGTAAAACCGCGGCTGTTTTAAACTGCCAGTTTTTTTTTCCGTCAAGATGGCGGGCGTAAGCGAGACTCCAGCTTACCGCCTCAGTCCATGCTGACCTCCAGCAAAAGCTGCCACTTCCAGGTGTACGTACAACTTTTAAATCGTTAGCAAAGCCTCTTAAAAGAACCTTGCTGTTTTTTTTTATGCCGAGTCAGGATGACTGCCTTAATCAAGCCTCGAGTCTCTGCTTGCCGCTAGACAAACAGAGCTCGCCTGAGAAAATGCTGCTACCAAAAATCTGTGCTTCTCCCCGTTCTTCTGTTTCTAAAATTCCTTTAAAGCTTTTGTTATTTTGCGTGGAAATTCAATCCCACTTCTGACACTATTTTGTTAAAAGAAGCTTTTTCCTTGAGAGAAGCTTTCCCGCCAGCCTGGTTCTAGAGCCGCATCAGTCCCAAATAAACACACAGGAGGCTATATTAATTATGAAGCTGTTGGCCTTGCTTGTTTCTTACTGGCTAGCTCTGACTTAAGTAATTACCCCATAATTGTTAATCTAAGTATTTCTCTTACCGGAGAATAGTTCCGGGCTTCCTACCTCCATGGCATTACATGTTGACTCTCTTGTGTTTCTCCTCCCAGAGTCCTTCTGGACTCCTAGTCCCTCCTATCTAGATTCCCTATAGGCCAGACAGTGCTTTATTGACAAATGCACAGGACTTCCCCAACAGACACCCATTTCTTCTGTTGTTTTGGGCAATAGTTCTTGTGTTCTATGTAGATATGTCTCTATCAAATAGTTACTTGGCCACAAGCTTGACAATATACCTTTTCATTCTTTACCAAGTGGGCTGTGTTTTCCCAATCTTTCAAATTTATATTTCTTTTGATCTGGTCAAAGGGAACCATGCCACACCTCCAACACTTTGTTAGAAATGCCTTTAGCTAAGTTAAATGTCTGACTTTAGTACTCGAGAGTTCTGCTATCCATGAAACACAAGGACAAGCATACAGTTCAGCCATGTTCTTGGCTTTGCAACCAGGATCACCTTTGCTGCAGCTTCCATCATGTTCCCCATTTCTTTCTGAGAAATCATGTGTGCTTGTTCAGGGTTGTTCAGCTAGTGCTTCACAAAACGGGGATGCTTCCTGTGGCTCTCCTCCCTTCCTTTTGAGCCCTCCAAATGTCACATTCCAGTGACCATCATGTAACTTTTATTTTTTTTTTCTGCGATGACTCTCAAAAGCCTTCTGGCCTTGAACTCATTACTCAATCCCAAAAGCTGCTTCCACATTTTGATATTTTCATTCTAGCACAGTGCCACTTCTCAGTAGCAGTGAAGACTCACTGATCTATGCGTGGCTGATAGTGACAAGGGTAGACTGAAAAGAGGGGACTTCATGTTTCATAGTTTGAGAGCAGTTTATTTGCCCATATGAATTTCTTTGACACCAAGAAGTAATAAATATTTGTCCTCATCTTCACCCATAATAAGAGACAAAGGATAAAAAGACACATAATTAGCTCAGTTGATACACAAGAGCTAGGTAATTCAAAATCCATGTCAAACATAACAAACTAGAAACGGAAATGCAGCTCCTTAACCCTAGAGAAGGGAGTCTAATGAAAAACAGAAAAACGAGATTAACGGCCTGCTTGGCAAAAAAACTTTAAATAGCCAGCTGTATGAAATCAGGGACAAGACAATGACATCTACTACCATCGTTTCTACTCAACACTTGGAGAGGTGCTAGCTCACAAATTCAAGAAGCTAAAAGAGGTGTAAGTTAGGGCTTGTGATGAAGCTTGGTGGTAGAGTGCTTCTGTGTACCAGGCTGGTTTTTTTTTTCTTTTGGGCCACCAAACAGCTCCCAGATCACCACATAGAGACTTATTAGTTTTGAATGTTCAGCTTAGCTTAGGCTTGTTTCTGTCTAGCTCTTTGAACTTAAATTAACCCATTTCTCTTTATCTACCTTTTGCCTTGGGGCTTTTTACCTTTTACTTTTCTATTTATTCTCTCTGCCTGCTAGCCTTGCCTATTCTTTCTCATGTGTAGATATTGGTCATTCAGCTCGTTATTAGACCAATCAGGTGCCTTAGGTAGGCAAAGCGAAACAAAAGCAACATGTCTTTACATAATTAAACAAATGCAGCATAAACAAAAGTAACACACCTTTACACAATTAAAGTAATATTCCACAACACTTCTGTAGTGTGCATGAGTTCCTACCTTCCCTCTTCAGCACTGTGGGAAAAATAGAAAGCACAAGCTTTAAAAATAGGAAAAGGCTGGGTTATTTGCTTATGAGAAAAGGTCGAGTTATTTGCTTAGGGGTGTTGGTTGAACTTTTGCTCTCAAATATTTGCTCCCTTCCTGTAATAGGACTGTGTGTTCCCATCTCCATGTTTAGGTGTGTTACCCATGAGTCCCAGGGTAAGTGTCCTCCTTGTTTCGTTAGACCATGAGTGCGCTGTTTTAACTAAGTTCCAGAAAGAAGATGCAGAGGCCAGCTGAACTCAGCAAAACCTAGAAAAATTGTAATTTGTGGTTTTAAACTAAAGTCAGGCTAAAACTATTTTTTATGAACTATTGGGGAAACATACTGGTAAGTACACCGGTAAAATGAATATCTCAGAAAAAACTCGAAAGAAGCTCCAGGGGAATTACTAAAATTAGTAAGTGCTTAGCAGTGTTCAAAAGTCATGTATATATTCATATTTGTAATTCCCAACAGCAAACTGTTCAAAATATAATTTTAAGAGCAGTTTATGATACCATTAGAGTATGTTAGCCAGAAAAATTAAAATATATGGAGAACCTCTGTGAAGAAAACTATAATTCCTTATTGAAGAACATTTAAAAGATTTAAATAGATATAGCATGTTTATAGCTGGGCAGTGATGGCACATACCTTTAATCCCAGTACTCATGAGGCAGAGGCAGGCTGATCTCTGTGAGTTCGAGGCCGAGTTGGTCTACAGAGCGAGTTCCAGGACAGGCTCCAAAGCTACACAGAGAAACCCTGTCTCAAAAACCACAATTAAACAAAAAACAGATATAACATGTTTATAATTAAGATAAATCAATATTAATTGATCAATAGACTCAAGGATATTCCAGTAAAACTTCTTTCTTCAATCAAAGGTGCTGATAACAATTTCTAAACAAATGAGAAAAAAAACAAGCAAGACAGCCTTGATGATAACACAGCTGTTTCTACTCATTGACTTACCATGAGGTTATTTTTCAGTAGCCTTTGCATAAATATTAATATTTATATGCATAATATTTATAGTAGATATCTCAAACTCAACAAGATCTAAAATGAATTCAGAACTATTTTAAGGCTGCTGCTTCTCTAATATTCCTTGATTTGTTGAATGGATTTGCTGTATTTCCAGGCACCATGACAAGAAATTTGGGACTTATTTGATAGTCTTCCTACTTGCCTCATAATTTTTACCTAATCACTCAATGATTACCCATCTCTACTGCTATTATCTTAGTTCTGCCCCTAGCTCCTGCTCAGAATACTGAATATCCACTGTCCTCTGTAGATTGATCTTTCTAGACCTAATTATCTCAATTCCCAATTGTAACCTATTACCTTCAGGATAAGATTCAAATTCCTTGAAGATTTGAACTGTAAGCTGGGCAGTGGTGGCACATACCTTTAATCCCAGCACTTGGGAAGCAGGGGCAAGCGGATCTCTGTGAGTTCGAGACCAGCCTGGTCTACAAGAGCTAGTTGCAAGGCAGCCTCCAAAGCTACACAGGGAAATCCTGCTTTGAAAAACCAAAAAAAAAAAGATTAAAAAAAATAGTTAGTTATGGTGGTGCACATCTTTCATCCCAACTCTTAGAAGGAAGAAGGATTAAGAGTTTAAGGACAGTCTGAGATACAAAGAACTTGTTTCAGAAACCAAAAACTTTAATCCTTTGTCTATCTCTTGTCATAATTCTATGTGTACTATAGAGACATAGTATGTATTTTTAAATACCATATAGTCAAATTTAAATATTTACTCTTTTTGATTTGTATCACCATAGACATTTCTATTAGAACTATTTTAATGAAGAGCAAGTATTGGATATATGCAGATACATGAGATTAACGTGTTAATAGAAGAAATTAAGGCTTATTAAATAAAATTATGGAGAAAATTTGTTTCTGTGCAAGAATATTCAGGAACATTTAATTTTATGTGCACATGGAATTCCAATGAGTGATGGACAGAGACTTCGTCAAGCATACCAATCTTGTTTACTCCTCTTCTTTCTGGAACATTCTCTCTCCACTCCTTTCTGATTAACTCCAACATGTACTTCAAGACTCAGCTCAAAAGTCACTTCCCTGGTAGCAGATTCCCTGATGTCACCCATTCCCATATGTGAAGTTGTTTTCCTTGATAGCACTCATAATAGTATTTCAGAGATTGACTTTATAGACTCCTGCTTCACAAAGCTAACAATCTGTTACATACTGATGACACATTTGACTACATCATAGACAATCATGAAATGTTTACTCTTCTCTTACAATGACAATTCCAATGTAGTTGATAAATCCTTATGTGTATGCATTGTTTCCTTCTCAATGTATTTTGCCTTTTAGAAGATTGGTCACTAGCTGTGCATATTCAATGAATTTTGTAAGTTATATCTATGAATGTACCCCTGTACCATGTACATGACTTAAAAGCCACATCTAATGTGTCAATTTTTATTATTCCAGTTGAAAAATCTGGATCCATTTTTACTGTTTGATGAGTTTAAAGGAGGAAGGCCAGGAGGGTTTCCTGATCACCCACACCGAGGTTTTGAAACAGTAAGTATCAAGATTTGACTGTGAGCATGTGTCTTTTATTTGACTTTTATTTCTAATAGAAAATCCAATTAGAGGCAATGAATAGAGACAAAAATTGGTTTATAAGTATCTTGCTATAGGCTTCTATGTAGCTGTTATAGTGATTTAAAATGAAATATACTTAAATTTGAATACTATTTTTAAAACAATTTTTTATTAATTAAATTTATGTATTTATTTTACATCCCGATTGAAATTTACCCTCCCTCCTCTCCTCCAGTTTGCTCCCTGCCATCTCCTCTCTGCCTCCACACCCCATCCACTGATCAGAAAAGGGCAGGCTTCCCATGGATATCAAAGCATGTGATACCACATTGCTGTAAGACCCTTGTATTAAGGCTGGGCAAGATAATCCAGTGTGAGAAAAAGGGACCCAAAGGCTGTCAGAAAAGCTGGAGACAGACCCTGTTCCTACTGTTAGGAGTCCCACACTTAGACCAAGCTACACAATTGTCACATATATGCAGGGGACCTAGGTCAGTCCCATGCAGACTCCCTGGTTGTCGGTTCAGTCTCTGAACTCCTATGAGCCAAGGTTAGTTGATTCTGTGACTTTTCTTGTGATGTCTTTACTTTGCTGACTTGTTTTTATTATTATTTAATTTGTGTTCCACTGACATTTCTGTATGAGCAGTTATTAAAGAGCAAGAATTAGCTTCTTACAAATATACAATTAAAATAATTTTCTGGACCTAGAGGAAACTAAAGCATGATTAAATCATTTTATAAAGAAAATCTGATTCTCCACAAGAGTTTACAGAAATGTTTAACATTGTGTAGCATAATATTATAAACACCAACATATAATCTAAGAACTCAATGAGTTTTATATTAAGTTCCAAGGAATTAGAATTAGGGAGCCAAGTTCTGGAGAGATGGTTCAGCTATTAAAGGCTAGGCTCACAATAAAAAATATAAGAATTAGGAAGCAGTCTAAAATTTCAGATTTTATGGACATACTCACATATTTATAAATTTAATTGCAAAATTTAGAGATTCTGTTGGACACTACTTCTTTCTGTTTTCGTCAGATAGGAAATATAGATGTGCGATGTAATATTGTAGCATTTTCAATGGTTTTGATTCTTCACACATACATACATTTTGAGACTTTACAAAGTTTAGCCATTTCTTCATGAGAACCATCTGTATTTGTGGTAAACAGAGCAGGGTTCATTAAAGGCTTAGTGTATTTGTAAAGCCAATTAGTGAATGAATAAATACTTACCCGTGCAATATTACCAACATACAAGTGTTGGTGGAGGCTGATCTTTCATATGTCGGGGGTGTGCTGTGTGTTGGGGAGTGTTGGTAGAAGACAGAGATGAGGCTAAAGAATGAGGCTTGAGCCTTGCTCACTTCCGTATGTACTCTAGTTAAGGAAGTAAAAACAGGGAAAGATTTGATCACTGTATGTAACTTTGGAAAGATTTAACCAAGAAGCTTCCAGAAGCAAGATAAGGCTACTTAGATTTGTGTTGCTTCATTTATCCATTGGCCTTCAAGTTCTTCCCTCTGCTAGCACATTGGCTGCACTGTCCTACTTTACATCAATGATGGGAGCCTTGCTTTCATCTTCCCTATACCTGTATTTGATTCTAACAATTTGCCAGAATTCCATAACTCTGGTTGCCATCTTGCAAATCCTTTAAGTTCTTTCCCCTGTTAGTATCTCCATCATGTTTTCTGAACAATCCCAAGAAGATGTGCTTCTCCATTTGGTCCCAATGACATTATGTTTGTACCAGTTTAACATACATGTATACCTTGATGGTGGCCTTGAGCAGCTGTCTTTCATTAGAGTTAAGAATTACCTCAACCTCCCCTTACCATGCTCAAGAGGATTATTAATTGTTTCAGTTTAGAATAGCCCACACTTCTCTGCATTCACTCAGCAACTGGCTCTTGTTAAAGATAATGACTATATTAAACAAAATGACTACTGAACAGATTGCACTTGTTTCCATTATGTAAAATGTCGTGGAAGGGGACTGCTTTGTAAGTCATATGATATTCAACTTTAAAGAACTTATTGAAGAAGCTTAGCAATAGAATATTGATGTTTGGTTCTTTTCCCATTATTAAGAATTTTCCCTTCAATTACACTGTAATTACATTTTATTCTTGTTTGTAGATTTTGTATTTATGAGTTTACTTGCCTGGAAAATTCATTGCTAATTGCCAAATCAATACGTATAGAGCTTTGGTGATAATTCAGGGTGTTAGAACTGCCCAGTGCAGTCTTTTGCCTGCTGAGGTGTAACAAGGCGGTGCTTTCTTTGTTGTTACAACTCTCATAATGTAGGAAGATGTCCTTTTAGCAACCTTAGTGGCACGTTTCTTGTATTTTCCTGCTTTTGGTACACTTCCTATTCGAAATGATTCCTGAGCATTGCACAGATTGCTACCTAGCTCTCCTTCATAGAAGGCTGTTAGTGTGCCTTGTTCACAGAGAAAATATGTGTACTCAGTAAACGTCTTTTAGGTATGACTTGGTGCTGTTGATTGAGAGAGTTCATTAACATCAGTGAATAATATATATAACATATGGGTGTCTTTAAATACAAATACACATAGAATAAGAGCAGTGTTTCTCAACCTGTGAGTTGTGACCCTTTGAGAGTTGAATGACCATTTCACAGGGGTCTCCTAAGACCACCAGAAAACACAGATATTTATTTACATTATGATCAAAACAGTTACAAAATTACAGTTATGGAGTAGCAACACAAATAATTTTACTGTTGGGAGTCACCACAACATGAGGAGTTGCATTAAAGGTTTGCAGCATGGAAAGGTTGAGAACCACTGCAATAGAGGCATACATAGATGGGTGTAACATGGAAAAGAAATGACCCAGAGACTGATAGTGGGGTTTAAACCTTAAGCTGAATACCAGAAAAGCAAAGCAGCTGGCCACAAGCTTCTTAATCCCTACTTCAGGCTGAAAGGGCTGACCCTGTCTCCAGGAGCTCTCACTAAGTCTCAGACTGTAACCTCTCCTCAGCGTGGCAGGAGAATGAATGCCCCATACTGAATAATTGCTCATGTCTTTTATACCCCTATAGTGCTGGGATTAAAGGTGTGAGCTATAATTCTATTTTAAACTGATTCTCTTGTGTACATCTGGGTGACCTTGGACTCACAGAGATCTGTCTATCTCTTAATCCTGAGACCTAGTTTCTGGCTGCTGGGATTAAAGGTGTGTGCCTGGCTTCTATGGCTTGTGGCTGACTTTGCTTTCTGAATTCTCAGGCAATCTTTAATAAATTGTAAATAATTCATCACTATAGATGGGCTGACAAAGTCATTGTTGCCAGAAACTTGAAAGAGACCAATCTTAGATTACCATTAGCACCCAATGGTTCAGGACTTGTTCAATGTTTTATTTTGTTTTTCGAAACAGGATTTCTCTGTTCTGGCTGTTCTGGAACTTGCTTTGTAGACCAGGCTGACCTCTGACTCACTGAGATCCTCCTGTCTCTGCCTCCTGAGTGCTGAGATTAAAGGCATGCATCATCACTGCCAGGCCCAGGACTTGTTAATTAAGGGATCATGATAGTTTTATAGAATATCATTACTTCAGATCATGAGAAATTACTATGTCAGTTTTACCCCCCCAAAGTGTAGGTAAGCCAGGATTTAACTTTTAAAGCTGCAGTTTAGGGCCATAGGAATGACTTAGATGTTAAGAACACTTGCTGCACTTGTAGAAGACCTAGGTTCAGTTCCCAGCACCCACATTCCTATTCCTCACAACTATCTGAAACTCTAGTTCCAGGGGTGTCCTCTTCTGACATCATTTGGCATCGGACATGTACACAGTACAGTTACATCACACCACACACAAAACAGCCATATATGCAAAATAAAATAAAACATCTTTTGAAATTATAAATGGAAAATGAAGCCTGCCAAGTCTACTTTAGGCTCTTACTACTTCATCTCTGGAGCTCAATCTAAATGCCAAAAGTTTGAAAATTCTGAGTACTATATAAAATAAAAATAAATGACTTGGAAATAAAAAGAACATTAGGATCACCTGTTATGTTACATTACCACCCAGAAGTAGTAATTGCTATTGTTTGATTTTTCTGGTATCAAGCTACCTTTTTTTTAAAAAAATGTGTAACATTATTATACCGTTATTCCAACATTCTTCAAAAAATATAATTACTTTACTTATTTATTTATTGTGTGTTTGTGTTTGTGTCTGTGTGTGGAGGTCAGAAGTCAGAGAATAGCTTTCCAGAATTGGTTCTCTCCTTTAACTATGTGGATTCTACTCAGGTCACGTTGCCAGACTTAGTGACAAGCACCTTTACCCTTTGAACCATCTCACCTGCTCTAAATTTTTTTAATGATCTTGGTAAGTGTCTGCCATGACATATTGCACCAATCGGTGATATATGAAGATACTTTCCATCAGCACCACCAATACAATATATTTACTTGACTTTTTTAAGTGTTTGCCATTTTAACAATAAAACTACCTCATTGTAGTTTTAACTTACATTTTTTTCTGAGCAAGGTTGATTTTCTTTAAAAAGGTTGATTTTGACTTAAAGATATTTGTTTATTGTGGGTACTTATATCTTTGCCCCCCACTTTGTGCAGTCATTAATAACCTGTGAACTATATGTATTTCTTATTCAATTTAAATTCAACTTTGGAAGGACAGAGTCTACTCTTGTTGTTATTGTTGTTTTATAGAAGTTCTTTATATATTAAGGAAATCAAACCCTTTTTAATGATAGGAGTTTTCTATAGTGATAAGAAGGGTGATGCTTGCTTTGCATCCTTCCAAATATAAGCCCTTAGGTACAATCTAGATATAAACTACAGAACAAGGATGTTTTTGATAGTTAGTTCAATTGGTTATGCAAGATGGGATAAGTTCCCAGATCCAGGTGATTTTGTTATGCCCAAGTAACACAAGTATGCACTGAACATTCACACAA